CTGGGTCTACCAGGTACTCTAGAATGGAACTGTTTATACCCGTTTGTTAGCCCTTCCCTAAACATGCCGGAATGGGCTCTCTTACGCTTTTGCACAAACGCCGGCTCGCGCGACTAATAGATAGAGGTGGTCTGGGCTGGCAGTTTACCCTTGATCTCTCCGTAAAGGATGGGGGTAGTCGAGAACAATACATAGGCATTGGCTGCGTGGAAGGTGGTTGCTACAGCTTGACTCCGGGGCCTCCTTAGAAGTCCGCTTGGTCCAATCCCTTGAAATGGGACTCTGTTGAATATTCGTTTCTTCTCTGCTGTTAACACTGAGGGCTTTGGCGGCCTTTCAGCCATGTTTTTAGAGATAAATCGACTGGGATACCCATTTTTTCGAAACACGCCTTCAACAATCTTTAGCTAGCAGAAAATGTGTTTCACTTGACAAGTTTCCGTTCATTTAACGATTTCCCAGCGCATATATGTGCTTGTGCTCGCAATTATGTCCCAGGGCATGGGTCCTCGTTTACTTGCAACCAATCAGTGAACTGTTGCGGTTTAATTGGCAACGTTTCGCAAGACGAGTGTTTCGTCTCTTGACTTCTCCGACAGTATCCACCAGCCACGTGTACGCAAAAATCAGTGATAACAGCTATTACGTGGTACGGTACTATTAAGCAAAATAGTAAAGGGTAAATGGTGTACAGACCTCAACAGTGGACACCAATTCAAGAGCGAAGGGCGTCTGTACAAGGAAACGACACAAATTCAAGAATAACGCCCCGCAAGAAGAAACTAGTCTTGAGAAACCTCGTGTGTGTTAGTGGGAGAGAGGGTGGCTCCACTTTTATGGGACAATTCACGTAGCATCCGGATTGGTGTGAAACGCCAGCGCGACAGGGGGAGGGTTTCGTGAACAGAAGCCATATAAAAGCGTCAGCGGCGGAGGGTGGCTGGACGAGTGGTTATCGGGGTAGCCGCGGCAACTTGGTCAAGAAGCGGGAGGAGCGAACGGACAACTGGCATCACCGAGGGGTCGATAGCATCGTAAGAACCAAATTGAGGGGCTGGGGACAGTATTCAGTCATGTGCAATCGAGTGAACAGGTAAAGACGAGAGGGCGGCCAGCATTCGAGGTTGGAAGGGGGCAGCCTTCGTAAGGAGTAAACGAGCATTTGCAGGTCGGACGGGATTTTCGATGGAGAAGGGATGTGGAGAATTCCAAAATTTTTGGCCGAAAATAACAACAAGTGTTTCACACGACGAGCTTGGTGCCGGAATGAACTAAACTCGGTAATCGACATTCCACTGCAGTAATTGAACTGATACATTTTGAATGGCAGCGTTGCCAAAGACGAGTGTTCCACATGACGAAGTCGGTGACGGAGCGGATTAAAATCGGTAACCGAAGTTACACTGTACTCATTTTCGAATTGGTCAAAAACCATTACTAAGGGCTTTTGTTAGTGTCACATGGTATGTGCCTAAAAAAGAGACCAGTCCGCGGTGTAGAGAAAAACCCAGGCATAAGCAACTTCGGAGTTACTGACCATCAGAAAATGTTGTACGACGTTCAACAAGTCGGACATTTCAGTTGAGGTGACTTTTCTTACAGAAGGCAGCTGTACTCCATACAGTGTTCGGAACTGCTCAGTTAATGACATCCTCACCAACAGATTTGCGATCAGCAAGCAGTTACTTTTGTTCCAACGCCGTCGGTGCTGTTGCTTGTGCCGAAACGCGCAATACTAAAAGACATCAGGAGCATCAACTTCTACCTTTACCGAGCAAGTGATGTGAACTTAGTCAGGAGTCCCATTTTAAATGCGTAACCTGTGAAAAAATGGGTATGCTTTGACAAACCAGACATTGCCGATGTACATGACGGCCCTAATTCTGCGATTCAAACAGCAGCAGAAATTTTGAATTCAACCCAAAAAAGACTGTCCACCCGCCATGTTAATTCAGTGACGAAGCAATACAAATTAACACACATGTTAGTTTAAAAATCCTCTCCACATACTCTGACCATTTTTCTGAAAGGAATATCCTTTCCCTCAGTGGATGGAAATTTGTTTATCAAATTCTGCACTACTTGTAGTAGTACGTTAATTGAGGATAGTTTACATTCATCAAAGGCTTGCTCTTACGGTAAGGGTTGAATTAATTTCGAATCATGACACAATTGTTCCTTATGCTCTTGTTTCAATGGAAAGCAAGTATACTGCAAATTCAATCATCTGTGTTTTAGTTTACTATGCTGAGAGCCTAGACGCTAGCTGAACGCCTAGGAAAAAAACATGCGAAACATTTTCGTCTGGGCTTTGAGCTTATACCTGTGCCACCAGTATGGTAAAATACAACATGAATTGGCAATCGTATATTACGTAGTCCCCCTCAAATACCCCTAGTCCAAGCATTTTGTTCGGGGAAAACGGGAGTCATAGGGTTTAGGTGAGTGGGGAAATAAGATAGGCTGAGAAAAATATTTTTAAAAGTAAGTGAAAAAATGAAGTTGAAGTAGTTTCCCGGGGCCACCGGAGTACGTTGTTCCGCATGTAATTTGGAGGTGTGCGCCGCGGACATTGCTAGTCCAACTCCAGAGCCTTATGGTGAACCTCAGGAAACATAAGGTAGAGGACCTCCTAACCACCATCTCTAATTTTTGGGAATTTCAAGAAACCTGAAATTTTATAATAAGCTTTTTACGCAAAATTACACAGATTAGGAAAATCTACAGATATAAATAAACATCACTTCTAAGTAAAATTAAATAAAAGCGCACGCAACAGTTATTAATGTATATTCCACTGCATATCCTAATGTTCCCGTGACGCCCTATAACCATGGTTTTCGTAGGACAACCTGCTGAGAGTAAGGATTAATGAGGGGAACTACATAAGATACTGTTCCCTGTAAATGTAAAGTAATGCCTGCCTGTTCGCAACATGTGTGTAATACGTGGTTATCTGACAGTGGGTGATGCCTTTCTGCGCAAATATAAACATCAATTTTGGGTCTTTGCCAGTGTAGATCACGGATCTACTAGCCCAGACTGTGAAAGGAAATTATTTTCTAAAGAAAATAAAAGGCTAAATTTAATCATTATCTGAAGGACTATCCCTTATGCCCTTAAATATTCCAAAATATACTGAGAATATAAAAATAAACTTCTAGGGAAGTTAAAACGCCGAATTCAATCATTGCCAGCAATGGACTTTATGTACACTTTGCCGTTCGGGATAATTTTGCAATACTATCTTGAGAGAATTATTGCTCGCAAGATGCTTGCAGGTGTTCAAAGTGCAAACGTACTAAATCCACATGTTTCATGCGTAGGCGTTGTTCTAAAAATGTTCAAAAATAGTATGTGTTCTTCGACAGGTAAGCGCTTACTAATCGCTTGTCACATGCATTTCGGTGAGGTGGCCCTAATTTGCGAGCAATGTGCTCTTTTTGCATGTTAACTGAGCCCATTTGACCGCACACTTACCTTTGGTTTGCTCGCCAGCGCATTTGCTTTCGTCTAACATTGACGCGTGCAAGAACACTCACCTGTACTCCCACGTCCTCAGGCTTATACATACGCATACAGGAGGG